GAGAAGGGGAGCTCCTGATGCGCGTGTGCATAGGAATGCATGCACGCACGTGCAGGCACAGACACCCCTCAGCCGAGCCACTTGGGCCCACCACGTCTAGCCAGGGACTGGGGACCCCTCCCCCCTTATGCACTGGATCTGCTGGCAACACAAGCCAGGCTTCCTCACAGCCCGGAGAGGTGCCCGTGACCCTCCCTCACACCCAGGCCAGGAAAGGCCTTTCAGGGTGGCGTGTGCCCCCTCCCCACCACAGACCCTTCAGGCTGGACAAAGCCAGCATATTGGCAGCCTCTGCCCCACAGACATGGCCCAGGAGGCTCTCCCCCAAAGTGCCCCTTGCCCTGCCTTCCTCCTCACCGGCCTCCAGGCAGGGCTCCAGCTTGTCAAAGTACTCCGGGGCAATGAGCTGCAGCAGAGACTGGAAGAGGTTCACGTAGGGCAGGCGGGAGACCAGCACCAAGGACTGCGACACGGAGGCAGAGAGAGGGAGAAACACGCACACACGTGAAGAGAGAACTGTCTGTGTTGCTCTCGGAGATACAATCCCCCTTGTAGGGGTCCTGCTGGGCCCGTGGATGTGCACGCATGGGGGGGGGGTTGGGGGGACACGGCGGCCACTCACCTTCTGGAAGTACCCCCTCTTGACGGAGGAGTCCCTGACCTGCCGGAAGTAGACGTAGCCAAAGTAGTGGGCCGTCTCCTGCTGGGAGGGGGAAGGGAAGGAAGCAGGAGGCCCTTGAGGCTTTGTGGCCCCCGTTTCGGGCCCAAACCCCAGGCGGGGGCCCTGCGTTCCTGACCTGCAGGGCGGCGGGGGCCTCCTTGCGGCAGGCGGTGGCGCTCTGGGCCCAGGGGCGCTCCCGGAGGCGGGACCCGGACTGGCGGAAGCGGAAGCAGTACTGCGTGTCCCCCAGGCTCCCTGACGAAGGAAGGAAGGAAGGAAGTAAGGAGCAGAAGGTTGGGGGGGGGGGCAGAGGCAGAGAGGACCCCTTCTGGCTGCCTCCCCACCCTCTGAGGCTCCCTTTGGCCCCCTTCCGTGCCCCCTTCTCCACTCACCCGAGTAGGAATCCGGGAAGGCCAGGTAGCAGATGCTGGTCTTCTGCAGAAAGATCAGGGGGTGGGAGGTGAGGCTGGGGGTGGCCACAGCGTGGGGGGGGGGGGAGAGAAAGAGGATGCAGGGTTTGAAGGGAATTGCGTGGGAGGGGGATGAAGGGGGCCTCACTGCGCTGAAAACACAATTCTGAAATACGAAGGCCTGGAACACAACTACACTGCTGAACCGTAATTAAAAGTTGCTCCATTGCTGACAACCA